ATCCAGCTCCATCTGCCCCGCGCCCCCAACCCCCAGCTGCATGTTCTGGATGATGTTGTTGACGTCCAGGTTGGGAACCTGAGACGGCGGCGCCAGCAGCGCGTTGACCCGCCGGTACAGCCGCACGAGCACCTCCGCGCGCAGGGGGTCCTTCTCCGAGATCTTGGGCACGTTCTCGTGCTGCAGCGCCAGCACGTCGCGGAGGGTCAGGATCCCGCACCGGGGCAGAGCCTCCTTGTTCGGGTCCACGGGGTGGTGGATGTTCTGCTCGACGGCGAAGGATTCCGCCATGGGCGCGCAGATCAGCGTCGCTGCCAGGTCCAGCGCCAGGGCGCCGCTGCCTGCCTCGGTCTGTAGCTTCAGCTCCTCGATCAGAGCAGGAAACACGCGCGACGACCCCAGCATCCGCACGCCGGCGATCAGCTGGCGATGCGTGTAGGGAGGAGGTGCCATGCTGACCTCGGGGTTTGTGCTCCATAGCACCAGGGACTGGAACGTGCTGCGGATGCTGCCTAGCAAGCCGCCGCCGGAATGCGTCGTCCAACTCTCCAGTTCGGAGCGGTGGCAGCTGCCCACCCGCTGGAACGAGAGGCAGGGCTCCAGGGAGTCTAGGATCGGTTTGATGTCGGTGCGCGACGGGTGCCGGGTGCGGACATCTTTGAGCTGCTCTTCCAACATACGAGCGGTGATGTTCAGCACGGTCCGGTGGATCTCTCTGGCTTCGCCCGAGATGGAACTCGGATTCACTAGAGAGTGTAGCGTCTTTAAGGGTATTGAAGGGTCGAGTTCCGTCTCCCAGATATGGTTCCCCAACCACGTCAGCGCGAAGATGAGCGACGGCAAGAGAAAGGGCTCAAGCAGATCTACTCATGTCAGTATCTTGCAGTAGACCAGAACCATTACAACGTACATTCAAAGCCCCCTTTCAAAGTATCAAACTCGAGCTTTCCTGTCTCACATGCCTCCAAGCTCTGGCTGAACAGTGTAGCCACAAGCAGATAAAACTCCTGTGGACTGCAAGCCGACATGGTCTCCTCGCTGATACCTTCGGCGATGAACAGAGCCGCAATCCAGGAGCCCAGGTTCTTGTTCTGTTTCTCATCGAGAGCATCGAGTTTCTGGCTGCAGGATCCTCGCTCGAGCAACTTCAGAACAAAGGAATCATTACTCGAGATCCCAAGATCAGCCGGTCGCAGGTCAAACCGGTACCTGAAGGCCAGCACCAGCAGTAGAATGCTTCCAAACTCATCGTACACCGGTTGATTCTCGCCCTGATCTTCGTCCCAGTGCCAGGAGTCCAGTAAAGCGCAGAGCGGCTGCAGAACCTGCTTTGAGGTTCGGAAAAGCAAAACCACGTCCAGCGCCTGAGGCCGTCGAGACAGCGAATTGCAAATGTTCTTCAGTGTCATGGTCTCTTTTTGGCTGCAGAGATTATGCATGACCTGTCTACGTTAGCTGCTGCCTTGCCTAATCAGGTTCCGGACGCAAGAACAAACCTCTGTGATTGCACCAACGATCGCTCCCGCATTTCCCTCCATAGACTCGATCTCGTTGATCAACTGCTCCGCACGCTCAGGATTGGCGTTAATCTGCGACACCAGTTCGTCCTTGTTGTATCCCACAGGAAGGGTTTGCATGGGATTCTCACCCAACAATCGTTCTATGCTGGATTCAGGTATCAGTTTGTGCGAGGCACAGGCGAACAGAAACTCCTGGCGCACGTCGGACAGGACCGTGTTGCCCTGCATTTCGAACATCTGCGAGAATGACGGGAAGGTATTGGGGTCAAGCCGGCTCAAAGCATGGCTGATGCACATTTCCATTGGAATGGAGACCATGGTCGCCGCCAGCATGGCTGCAAAAAACGCGGGGAGCTTGTTGACCAAGAACGAACGAAAGACGAACATCGTCCGACTGGATTCATTACGATACATGCCGTTTGACAGGACGTCAAAAGCAGCGGTGAGGATTTCCTCAATGAGAGCTTCGTAGTGTCCCTAAGATGCGTCAGTCGGCCCGATTACCAGGACATCACTGCACATACTCCGTATCGATTCGCAAGGTAGTTGATCAGCATATTATCATCCACGAGGGGCCGGCCCACGAGCTAAAAGGTCAGCTTTGCACCAGCCAGACTCAAGCGATACTTACCATTGCATTGATATAGACGTAGAGACCTGCTCTCGAGTTGATGACCGGCCCGTCCATGACGGACGCCTCAAATTGCAGAGCATTGACATTCATATTCTCCATCATTGGAACATCCAAGGACTTTGGCGCTCGTTCCCCGTACAAATTGAATTCCTTTTGAAGTCCATCCAACCTGTTACGCAGAGGTAACGACACCTCAACGCAAAGGGGGAGATATGCCGAGAGAGCTTGGCCCAGCTTGACCTTTAACCCTGCAGCTTGAGATTAACCTAGGTTGATTCGGCAGTGGGGAGAAAATACCTTCATGGGAATCAGCTGAAAGGACCTCCAATCCCTTCCCAGTTCCTGACAAAGCAGCGAGGAGGATGCCCAACGATTCGAACAGCGACACCACATCCGGCGAACTCATCATCCCACTCGGGTGCTGACCTGGATCGAAATGACTGTTGTGCCATGCAACGACCGCATGGATCCAGTCAATAATAGAAAAGAAAATTGCGAGAGCTTCTGCGTTAGTTTTGGGAGCACTTCCCGTTGGTACAGAAAGCATGGCATCCTGGATGACTCGAATATCAGTCATCAGAGTATAGCATTTGGAACCGTCTCTGCCCTCTGACGTAGGCGATTCATGTATAGACGAGTATTTCAGAAGAGAGGTCAACACAGTGGACGTTCTGACTCTGCCCGTTCGGCACAGGCAGTCTATGTAGAGCGGGAGTAGTGGATCCCACTTGATCCTGGACTGGGACCGAGTCTGTAGCAGGGCATCAAGAAGTGCGTTCTCTGCAATTGGGCATTTTTGGAACAGCAGTTTCGACAGATCTCTGAACTCGTTGACATCGATTCGATGCATCAAACATTGACGGAAGAAGGTCCCCCATTGGACAGGGGGAGTTATATTCTGGGATGGTTCGATCATCCTGGCTCGAACTCAAACATAGCAATCTGCGATGATGACGTCTAAATAAGTATTTGATTATCCACGCTGGTTGTTCGTGCGAGACATTTTGCTAGACTTATGGGTCTGGAGTATGTGGTGGAATGAATGAATGAATGAATTATTCCTCCGGCTGTGCGCAGCCTAAGGCTGCATGTAGCCTCCGCGCTGATTATGCTGAGTCATCTATCTATGCATGTGACATGCCTTTTCTTAGTTCTCATGATTTAATCACCCTGTTGCCATAGCAAATCATATCACTGTTCTAACCACCTCTATGTTCGGTCTCTAATTCTTTTCCTGGTTGAGTCCTTCTCCTATGGGTTTCTTTCTCCTTGATCAGCCTCCTAATGCGTATGACATGTCCCCATATTAATTGCCTATTGCCACTCTCATTTCCCTACAGTATGTTTCCCATTATTTACATTTAAACAGAAAATGCTGTACTGTTTCTTGCCCCTCTATACATTCATAGGTTTTATTAGCTGTTTGTCTAATTCAATGTAGGTATTAATTTAATTAAGTGTGGCCTGTTCAGAGCTGTGCCAAGGTTGATGCTTATATCCTACTTGTCACAGGCTACGGCCTGGGCTGTGGTTGTCGGCCATGCCCTCAACCATAGAACATTCTAGAAGAACCATCAGGAAGAGGTTGGAACCCAGTGGAAGCTTAGGAACATGTATATAAGAAGGGGAGGGAGATGTATCTTCCTATTTCTCTCTCCAAGTTTGCGATATTCGTTAATATAGGATTGCCAGTTGAAAACAATACTGCCTACGCCCGTCTCACTACTGAGCTGATCATACAAGGTCCTAGTATGTCGTCCTGGAAGGGACGTATCAATCTCTCTTGTGTACTTGCTAAAAGGATTTTGTAGAAACTACTCCTTTTATGCCTAATTAAGCATATTCTGCATTTACCTCCATGCAGTGGATCTTGCGCGTTGGGTAGCCCAAGCTAGTAGATCTGGCTGAGCTCCCTTCTGGGTGGCGTAGTGGCTCACTACCTTAGCCATTTGAAGTCCTTAGTTCTGTAAATCATTTGCTATCCATCTGATCATAAGTTGGATCTCAATCTGCATCATCTGCTTGATTTATCTTATGATTTGCTGTATGACTTGCTGTCCTCCATGGGATCCTTGGTTGGTGATACACTATAGGCTAGATTAGTTAGTTGAATAGATTATGATACCTATGACGTCTGTCAAGGTTGGGGGTCCTTAAAGCAGTTCCCTCGCCAGCTGGAGTGCTTCCAGGATAGCGCCAAGTTGGGCAATATATAGGTCTATATGGTAGTCTGTCTCCACTGTTGTGGAGGTAGATTTCATAATTTAATTCCTAGTCACCACTGCCAGACTAATTCTAATCAGATTATTCTGTGCTAATCTGTAGGTGTAGATCTTGATCTTCAGTCTTTTAAAGGTGGTTTCTGTATTTTCTGTTCCTTCATGGCATATAACCTTTTGCCAGTCTAACTCCCATGGGGCAGAATGGTATAGTCTGATTATCTCCATGCGACTTTGTTCAAGCGGCAGTATCTAAGAGAGTGATCTACATGGTGATCTAGACTGCTGGTTGATGTTCTTTATACACTTAGCTAGTGGGTGAGTGCTTGGTAGGCTGTGGCATCTAATCTAGTAGCAGAAAATCCGCTTCTAAAAACAGATATCTAGGGGTTCAATGCTAGCTTCAGCCTTAGTAATTATTAAGGAGACTGAATAGTAGATCCCTGCTATGCTTTTTGCTATTAACTTCTGGATCATATGTAAAGGTTTAATAACCTAACTTAGGATATGCTTATGTTTGTTCAGAGTTATCCAGACTAATAAAGTATATGTGACTGTTAGCACTACTAGGGTGTTATAGAGTTGCTAAGCACTTTATGGTTGGAGACCCCTCAGCCTTAGTAGTACCCAGCTAGCTTTAATGCCTCTCTTGGTGACCCAGCTAACATGTTCTCTAAACTAGAGTTATTCATCAAAGATAACTCCTAGAAGTTTAACCATATTGCTTAGGCAGATATTCTGTGTTATAATGCATAGTGCTAGCCTTAGGGAGGGGTTTCATCTAGCATTCCTTGTAAAGTGAATGAATTGGGTCTTCTGTGCTTTAAATATTGCCCCTGATTGCATGGCCCACCCTAGTGTATGGGGGATTACCTCCTCTTATAGGGCTGATATATTCTCATCTGCTGATTGTCCAATCCACCAGCATGTGAAGTTGTCTATAAAAGCCATTGCACCCCTATTCTAGTTAATTAGTATCTTAACCAGGTCTGCATTAAAGAATAAGTAGAGGATAGGTGATAGGGAGGAGCCTTGGGGCAATCCTGGGTTTATAATCTCTATGACTTCTAAGCAGTAATCATTAATAATAATTAATGCTCTCTAATTTAAGCAGAATGCATTAATCTACCTTACTAGTTCAACTAGTATTTATCTTTCTAGGAGTTGGCAGATTAGGGCCTTCCTTATCACCCTATTGTAAGCACCTTTTACATCAAAGCTGACCATGCTGAGGACCTTCTTTTCTCTCTATGCTTTATAGATTTTCTTAACTAAGAGATTTAGTGTGTCATGGGTTGACCCCATGACACGCACCGCATTGTGTATGTGGCTGTGGTCATGTGGTTCCCTGTTAGTCCGCCGCCCTGTCACCTTAGCACGACGACTGTTGCGAGCAAGGCCCGCGATATGCTCGTGCCGCCTAGCAGGCACTCACGAAGCCATACAGCTCTGGGTCACGTGACAATGTAATAATCTATGTACTAACCACCCAGGTCACGTGACACCTCGCTAGCTGCGACGCGCAATCGGATATTTCTATCCAGGCCTGCAACCCCCTATTCTAGTCCTTCAGCGAGTTCTTATTGTACATACCTAGTCATAGGTTTTCCTACGGTCTAGCCCGTAACAACGACAGCCTATATCTCTCTTTAGCAATTCCACTTCGTTCCATCGCGACCGTAAGGGAGGCTAGTGGTACAAGATCTGTAAGGGACACTCTAGCCCGTGACATAGTGCTTGTTTGCTTGATTGTTTCTTTTATGCCCTAAAGTAGTTTAGTAGGAGGAGACTAAAGACTTTAGTATATTCAGATAGTCTTTACACTATCACTACCTCCAGCATCTTGCCCAGGGTAGATAGTAGTGAGATGGGCCAGTATGAGTTTAGTAATGTTTTATCCCGTCCTGGTTTATGCAATGGGATGATCTTCGCAATCCTCCATCTTGCTAGGACATAGCTGAGCTTGATCAAAGCATGAAATATCTGACATATATCTTTTCCTAATACTAGCCATAGTTGCTGCCATATTCCTGCTAGAATCTGATCTTCTCTAGGGGCTTTCTACAGGTTCATCTGCATTACTGCTCTTTTGATCTCTTTATCTATGATTAGATCTATTTACAGGGTTAGTAAGTTAGGGTTCCCTAATAGTTCTGAGCTTTCTAGTGTTGATAGGAAGAAGGCAGAGAGTAGAGATCTAGCTTTCTCTTCTTCTGTTTTAGCTGCAGGCCCGCTTCCTTCAGCACAGAGAGCTGGGATCAGCTTCCTGTTATTTATCTCTTTAGTATATTGTGCTGCTGTCCAGATATTTTCTGCTTACTCTAGGAACTCTGTCTAGTGCTTGTGCTTTTAATCATGAATGGCAGTGTGGAATTAATGGTGAAGCTGTTTAACTTATTCCTCTATATCAGGTTAGTTCACTCCATATCGCCGGAGCTGAGTCCACTAATTCTTGTTGTAGGTGTAGACATTATGGAGTTTAGTTAGTTCATCTGTCCACCACTGCTTGCAGTAGGGTGAGGGGTATACTTATGGTATGCAAACTTTAAGGGTTTCAGATACTTTTCCTATCATGAGTCCAAGCTGTCTCTCTAGCTCTTCTGGATCCTGTATCTCCAGGAGGGTTATCATGCTTTAGCTTATCCTGGTAACAATTTCATCCTAAGGGGCCTTTTTCCACATGTATCATGGGGGGTTAGTTATCCCTTTGGTAGGTCTTTACTGAGTTAGGCCAGTGAAAGTTGCTTTAATTACTCAGTGGTCTGACCTATATTCTATTAGGTGATATTAGCATAAGGTAAGCCTCTGCTTGAGGCTGTCTGATGCTATTACTAGGTTAATTATTGATTGCCAGTGGCCAGAGTCATATATGATAGTTCCCTGGGGAAGTAGGCTGTGTAGCCCATAGTCAAGCATTAGCTTAACTAGGGACTGGGCTTCCCCTTGTCGCCACATGTGTATGATATGATCTCCTCCCTATAATTAATTATGGCGGTTAAAGTCTCCACTGATAAGGATATCCAGCTTTGCTCTAAACTTCTTTTGCTAGGTGTGGATCATCCTTTAGATAATGTTCATTATTCTTATTAACTCTTCCTGCCCACTACTCCTATTTTGCAGTGGCAGATAGGCAGTTATAGCTAAGAGCAGGTGGTTATGATGGTAGAAAATAACAGCCATGATATCTGTTAAGCTTGTCTCAACTTATTATATCCCTTTTTAGTCCTTTTAGATCCAGATCATGCTGCATGTCTTAGTTGTTGCTTCCCCTTCTCCTAGCTTATCCTTTGGCATGATTGCCCTCTACTTATTATGGGTATGAGTATTTCTTTAGTTTTCTTTATATATCATATATGGTTCAGATACCATTAGTAAATTACATATTGCGAGTATTCTATCATTTAGGGAACTCAGTTATACTTCCCAGCTTTTCTGCAGGTTAGCGTGCATGATTCACAGCATTATAAGTATTAAGTTCTAAGATAGACTGCTTCCCTGACAGCTTTATATTTGCTTTCCACCTCTTATCTAGTTAACTTCTTCCTGCCACTGTGGGCACTGTTGGTCTGAAGCTTGGTGTATACCTCCATATGCGCCATACTTTTCCTCATGTTCATTGCATTCTTGCTTTTAGTGTGGTCCTAAGCATCTCTCACACACTACTAGCAGTCTACACTGTGACTGCTTATAACCATAT